TCTGGTCTAGCTAGATCTTTAAGGTAGAACTGGGTGATGGTAGTGGGGTCAGGGGCTGGGAAGAAGGAATCGTTCAGGAACGAGAGGAACGATGTGTGTAAAACTAATGCGTTAGGGAAGTAGAGAGTCTCATCTTTATCCCTCAGAACAGTTGGTGGTTTTGAACTGCTGACATTGTGGTTGGCAGCCCAACATGTAACCACTACTCCACTACAACTCCTGGTGTCACGGCCCGGATATAAGGTTGTAACTGTTGCCCAGAAAATTCAGGAAGCTGGGAAGAACTGGGAGAAGTCTTTTCTAGCGGCGAAGACAAGCATCTGCTGTGTTTCCTGAGACCCGTCTGTGCACTGGCACCATGTTCCATGTCGTACTCCAAACTGCATACCTTTCAGGAGTCTTGTCCACCATGGTGGCCAGCGGAGAGAGGAGGAGAGGTGACAACTTTGGTGAAGGAGGTGTGGCAGCTGGGTTGGCGCTCAGTGTCGTTGGAGACTGTGGGTTGAGCCACGGGACCATAGGTGACCGGGTCTGACAGGGACTAAGGGTGGACATTTAAAGGAGAGGATTAGTGGTATGAAGGCCCCAGGACACCAAGACAAGCCACCCCTCTTCTAGATGGCCAAGATGATCGCTCACTTCTCTCTCCAGACACATTCCTTGGAATAGAGGCCTTTCCTCACCCTGCCAGCCCATCCAACTCAGGGCCGCACGCCCAACAACCACCCCTCAAACGAGAGACACCTGACTATAGCTCCCAGGGCTGTGGAGAAGACCTATCCTTGTCCGACCTAGCACGCCTTAGTAGTTCACTCCTTAAGGAAATAAAATCTAATTGTTCAAAAGAGTTGGTGAGATTTTTAAAATGTTTGTTTTTCCTGCTTAGAAAGGAAAGTCCAGAGAAATTAGAGTCTAGGAGCCAATGGCCTATAGCCAAAAGATTAATGTGTGGTCTTTTGGGGGGCGCATATCATACAATTCAATAGCTCGATCACATCCACAAGGGCTGTGGAATCATGGACATGCTCATCGTTGGAACCTTTTCTACCTTCTTTACACATTGATGCTGACTCCCACTTCCCTCACCCTCCCCTTCAAATTCCATTACTGTCTTTGTAATTCCACCCATCCCAGTTTCCCAACACCGATAAATACACAGGGAAGACAGCATCCATCAACAAGGATCCATCAACAATGACCATGCAAAACCGATAGAGAACTCCATCTAAGAAAAATTTAAAAGAAATTCACATTGGGTCCATAAGGAGATCAAATTACAATACGTTACGTTCCAATATACATAGTTTCAAAAATCCACTTTGCAATGTTCTTCGTCCGGTATTTGTGCTGTTGGCATTCCTAGTCTATGTACACTGGAGATTGACCGGGACCCTGCAGAGGGATTCTGAGCTACCACCATCGTCCACAGCTTTCCGCAAACCTGGTATTTAAGATTCAGACTATGGGTCCAACGCCCTCCCCAGGTTTGAGCTTTAGTATTAGCTATTGTTGGGGCACACCGGCTGAAGTGCTTCTTCCACGCAGACTCGGCTGACTGCTCATTTAGATGGCTGCTTGTTTTGAGAGAAGACTTTAAGACCCCAGCTGCTGTATTACTCATGGTAGCTGGGCCACACCTGGTTTCATTCATACTTTGTTAAGACATCCATGTCTTCAATGATTTCTTCATGGGGGCGAGTACCAGGCAGGGCCATGTCCAAAGAACTAATGGGTCTTATATTAGGGTTACCAACAAGTTAAAGCTCAAAGCCCATTCTTATAACTATTGTTTGTATAACTCCCTCATTCCATCTTAGGGATATCATTGTCATTTTAGTGCATACAATCCCCATGGGTTTCAGAGTGTCTCTATTGATAACTACATTATTTTAGTCAGTGGGATAGCAGTGTTGAGCAAAGATTTTGAATTTATCAGATGCTGTTACATGAATAGTTTGCAGATATGCCTCCAAGATGGGGCCGATGGGATACTAGGTCAAGGGGCTTTTTCCATTCCTTGGCTCTATTATAAGTGATTTGAAGGAAAAGTCCAATTTGCTTGGTGGAGTTTCAAATTTGGGTCCTTCTGGTGTGGCCTGGGAAGGGTGTTGTGTATCTCAGAAGTACAGAGTCTTATGCCTGAGCTGTCTAGTGGACATTGTGGGTCGCGGGGGGTTGGTTAGGAACAAAATGCCAGGTGCTTTTGTCTTTCATCTCCCTTGGGGTCTCTACAAGCAGTGATAAGCATGTTTCTCAATGGTGGAGAACCCTGCTTGGCTCACCCACCACCCGAAGTGCAATTTCCCCTCCAATACAGTCTTGCACATCCCTTCCTCTTGATCCAATCTCCTGGTCGATCTCACGGGGAATGGACTGTTAGTGTGACCCTAGAACACTGTGATTGGGTCGGTATTACTGGGCTTTTTCTCTCCCTGACGAGGGAGACAGGCCCTGTCTGTCACGAGGCCACCTCTCTTGAGGTGGTATTGAAGATGCTCTCAGAAGGAGGTGATACACTTTTTAATGGGAGCCAGGTATGCACTGCCTCCTTGGTTGGGGGACCAGATTAGAAGCCTATGTGGCTTGGGAGGCAGAGCCTGTCTGTGTCTTGGTTTTTATCCTTATAGTAGTAGACTCACACAATATTTTTCCTTTTGTGACTGACTAATTTTACTCAGCATGATGAATGGTTTCCTGGTCCCTCCATGCCATGAGGTGCTTCATGGTTTACGCCTCATTTCTAGGAAGGCACAGTATTCCATTGCGTGTGTGTATCATAGTTTAACTAGCTTTAAACTGATGGGAACTTGTGTTGTTTCTAGCTTCTTGCTATTGTGAACGGCAACACATGGTCTTTTTAACATTTATAGCTACTATATCTGATCATATACATGTGGCAAACCAGAATATTTTATTGTTTTATTTTTGCTTATGGAACCTGGACTTATTCAGAGAGGGTCAAACTCGAGAACCAGGCAGAAACCTCCCACTGCCAGTGAGTCAGTTCCAGCTCACAGCAGCCCTATAGGACAGGGGAGAAAACTAGAAGCAAGGAGATTAATTGACAACAAAAATCTTGAACATCCTCTAGTGTTGAAAACAATTTTTAAATGCTAATAACATAATGTGGTCTCCTAGGGAGCCTTCCAAATACAGACAGAGGGTTCAATCACTATGTATTGATCTAAATTAAATAACGGTCATGTTCTCTCACAACCGGGGCTTATGGTTATCATAGGTGAAACTTACGTACTTTAAAAGTACAGTGCAGAAAGCTTCTCACTTTATTCTGTTGCCCTTCAACACACACCTATCAACTATTGCCTACCTTCAGACAGTTCTCCACCTCATATTCAACCTCTTCCCCGGAAAACCATTTTCCACAAACCACTTCCTCATGTGTCAGTATTCCTAAGCACATTTTTTTTTCTTTATTCTTCCCTCCACAGCAGAACAAATACCAACTTCCGCCCACGTTTCCTTCCAAATGACCCCCAGATTTTGAATTCCTCCTCACAACCAGTAGAATGTTCCATCCTTACTTTCTTGCCAGCACAGCCCCATTCCTTGTACTTATCCAGTCACCTCTCCCAAACTCAGCCACCTGAAACCCAGACAGTGGCCCAGTCTGTCTCTCCCACGGGGGTGTACGAGCTCCCTCCAGAGGTACCCGCTGCTCCGCAGCCCAGGCAGCCCACCTCCCTGGGAGTGGCCACCCTCGGCATCTTGGGCTCCCCTCTCAGGTCCTCGGGCCTCCTGGGCCTGCAGTCCCGATGGCTCCGCCCACTCACAGACCTCTCTCCATTCCCAACACGTCAACCTCCCTAAGAGCAGGCAGGAGGAGTTGTGCTCTGATGGGTTCAGATGTCCTTTAGCCTTGGACAAAATAAGGCCTCTGGGGGGCAGACCGGGGCTCCTACTCTGGAGCGCTCCCCAAGCCGGGCACGGTACTAGGCCTGGGAAGAAGTCTTCGACCCACATCGGAGCAAACAACTGAAAAGTCCTAAACCTCAGATCCATTGTTGCTGTGGCTGCAAGTTGTGTCTGATTTGACCAAAGTTCGCGTCCACTAACAGGTCTGCGCCTGAGGGCCGGCATGGATGGGGCCTTTTGGCCGCAGATGGCCAGCTCTACTTCAGAGGTGTCTCTGGGTGTGTGGACTCAAACCAACACGCTTTCAGTGAGCGGGCAGGGGTTACCCATCTGCACCACCCCTGGTGGATGCGGTGCTGCCTTATTAACTTGACAGTTAACACACAGATTTTGTAGCACAAAGTGGGTGGGGCAGCAGGCAGGGGAGGCATTGTTTTAACAACCTCATTCCTTGAGCAACTTATCTATAATTCCCCTACCCAGCCATTTCACTCAGGAATCCCAGAATCTGTTTTCTCCCAAGCCAAGAAACCTATACATCTTAAACATGATCGGAAAACAACCCTGTGACAGGGTCTTACTAATCAAGGAGGGAAAGGATGAGTGAAAATCTGACTGAGGATTTAAGGTCAAACAATTGCCGTTTTATCTCCCACCAATTATTCAAGTGTCTGGGGGCGGTGGTGATGGAAGATGAGGTGTTTTGGCACCTCCCATCAAGGCTTCCTACCCCGTTTCCCCGAAAGTAAGACAGCCCCCGAAAATAAGACCTCCCTGAAAATAAGGCCCCCTAAAGCTACCGTAACTCTGCACTCTGGACCGTAGCAGCAGGCACTCCCGTGCAGCTCACTGTTGGTCGCAGCACAGCCAGAGCAGACAAGAAGTGCGAGGTCTCTTTTAATAAAACAACAAACAAGTACTGTATTCTTCTTCATGGAAAAATAAGACATCTGAAAATAAGACCTAGTGCATCTTTGGGAGCAAAAATTAATATAAGACACTGTCTTATTTTCGGGGAAACAGGGTAGTCATAAAGTGCCAGGCGATGAAGTAATAGCCATCCAGCTGCCCAGAGGGAGGCCGCTACAAGATGGAGAAAAAGCAACACTGTTACTCTATTCTTAGCAGGCATTAATAAAAATAAAGATCAGAAATGTCGTAGCTATTATTATCTACTTCATCCCCACATCTTTCTTTGTGAAAAACAAAGAACCACCCCAACAGGGAATGGAGGGACTGTTGAAAGAGCAGACACAAAAGGCTCTTTGCTAGCCTTCTAGCCTTTTCCCCAAACGGGCACACCCAGTCAGGACTTCCTGTCCAGGTTCTGGACCCGCGACTTTTCATGTTTGTTTTCTATGTTTCCTTTTGTCGATAGTCAACTTCTCACTGCAGGGAGTCAAGTCTAAATCGCAGTGACCTTAGCTAAAAGGGAGGTGGCATTGCCCCTGTGGGTCCCTGGTTTCGAACTGCTGATGTTCTGGTTAGCAGCCCAACTCATCTTCACTATGCGGCCAGGGTTCCTCGGATTCAACTTAGATTTGTGTTATGTAACCAGCGCCAACCTGCTCACTAACAAACCCTTGCTGCCTTCCCAGAGAGCCTGGACCTTCTGTCTTTGAGCCCCTTCATTCTGCTCTTGAGCCCCCCTTCACTAAGTACCCCAGA